ATCGTGGGTAGGGCGACTTAACCATTCGGCTATTATAAAAATAATGATACAAATTATGTATTTGTATAACATAACAAAATTATTTTTTACACATTAATTAACATTTTTTCAAGTCTCTTTTTGTACGGTTTATTTTTGAATCTAAAGTCTTCAATTAGTACGGTTTTGAACAAATCACATAATCATAATATAAATAAATCGGATAATCAATATTAATTTTGATATGTGTTTAGAAGTTTACAGTTTTCATTAAAAACATCTTTTTTTAATGGAAAATCCTATTTGGTTTTCGTGACTTTGATGCTGAATTAATTATTTTTAATTATCGATTTGTGATATTTCATTCCTGCATTCACGTATATTAACATGTAATTATATTTTGTTACGTTAGTATCATGAGCACAAAATAGTTTGTTTCCAATATTCGAAAAGTAACACATTTTTCAGAAATTGTTATTAATTATTACTATTTTTTCAACATTTTATCAATTTTTTTTCTACAATTTTGTTTTTTGTAAGAAATTATTCTATTTTTCTTAATGTCAATTTTGAGAAAAAAAAGTTAATTTTGTATTATGTATATGCTTTTAGTGTAAATTGTTAGCATTTTACGTCGCACTTCTATAAAATCTGCACTTATTAAATAATCCATTGACTCTATAAGCATTTTTATGAGATTTTTTCATTTCGAGAACCATTAATACATTTTTTAAAGACGACGATAATTACACTTTTATGTAATTTTATAAGTGCCTCTTTGTCTGTACTCTCATTTATATTCAATTAAGAATCTGAGTTGAATAAAGACCACTTGGTTTGAGCTAATACACTTTGAATATTTCCGAAGAGCTGAAGAGAAGTGCTTTGTCGGGAATCGGTTCATTACTTATGTGTAACTTGTTTCTCTCTTCTTCTTCTTCTACTCCTGCTGCGACGTTAGCAATGATCTGCATACCCCAAAATGGAAATTTCGTTTCGGTTTCCTGTTGGTGAACTTACTTCGTTTATTGTAGTTCTGCTCCACTGACTTATTTAAATCGCATTTAAGTTTCCAATTCCGTATTCCGATTTCAAACGGAGCATTACTCGACTTGCATCCGAATGCAACTCGTATGCTAATTCCGAATTCTACGCGCTACTTGTTCACGCTATAAACCATTTTAAGGATACCGCACACCAAGGAAGTAAGTACAACGAGAAACTGTAATTAACAGCAGCATTTAATAGTCTTGGTCTGTGGGTTCTCTTATGTGCTCTAAATTAGAGTTCAAATAAATATGTAATCTATATTAAATATAACAACTATTAGTTACCATGGATACAGAATTACTGAATTGACAGCTGTTATGTACAAACTGTGACGTCTGATATATACATTTATCATTTTTATTGTTGTTACAAGTATCAAATAAAAGACATCTTTCTGATATTCACTACTTTGTTGTGAAAATTATTTTTTTTTTAAATATTGTCTTATGTATTCCATATCGATTTCTGTGAAAACCAATAACACAAAATTGAAAATTGAACTGATAGCTGTCATTTGTAAATTGTAATTTGCATGCTTGATTTTATTTTACTTACTTTCTGGTACTTTTGCAAAATATACATGAAGCTAACCTTTATAAACTGAGAAAAAAATAAATAATGTTTAGTACATAATTGTTATGAACAATAATTTATTGTTATTGATTAATCATTGTTATATCATTTCCTCTTACTTATGCGTTCCAAATAATGGAAACTTACTATTACTATGGAAACCAATGACATTAAATTAAAATGACAGCTATTGTGTATTTATTTTCTTACTAATTCTATATTTTTATATAATACTTGAATATTTTTATATAATTTCTTCTCACTTATGGTTACTATGGAAACCAAAGACATTAAATTGAAATTGACAGCTGTCATGTATAAACAGTACCTTGGAACATTTTTCAAAACATTGTTCTAATTTCTTACTCATTCTATGTTTTGTGTTCTGTTGCAAATAATACTTGAAACTAACCATTATAAAATGAAAGACAATTACGCAATATTCACTACATAAAAATTGTTCCAAACTATTTTTTTTTAATTTCATAAAATGTCTTCTCACTTAGGCATATCAAATAATGGTTATGGAATACAATGACATTAAATTAAAAGGACAGTTGTCATGTATAAATAGTTGGCACATCAGTACAGTTAAATTATTAAAACTATTATACTATTTTCTTACACTTTCTATATGTTGTGTCCTTTTGCAAAATATTACTTAAAACAATGATTAAAAAAAAAAGTAGTGTCTTACTTCTGCGTTCAAAATATGGTGGACACCAATGATATTAAACTAAACTGACGTCTGAATTTACCTCAAGTTTTGTAGAGTATTATAAATTTTCTATTTTCAAATAACCGTATAATTAAATTAAATATATACTTAATTCATATATTTTTATCAAATATATTAAATATTGGTTACCATGAATATAAATGATACTAAATTTGAATTGACATCTGTCATGTTTATTTAATAGTTGGTACTCATAATTTTCCCTCACATCTTCTACAGTGTGGTAACAACATTACCAATAAATGTTGTCTTTACTTTTTACTTATTTTTCATTCAACACCTGTCATGATAGCAATTGAAGAGGCGTCTAATCAATATTCTGTTAGATTGACCCGTGAAGGCGAAGATTAACCTATGACCTTTTTCCCTCCGAGTATTTCAGTTTTGTTTTCCTGCTTCCTAGTTAACTTTTCGTTCTGCTTTAATTTAAGCCGCTTACAACGCGAAATCAATTTGCCGTCCGCTGACAACGCGCCAGTAAATTTAATTACATCACGTCCATAGAACATTTCCATCCCAACTATTGATTTACACCAATTATTTCACCTGGGATTACTTAAAATACACACATAGTGTTTTGTGTATTACAAACAATTTACTTTTTGGATTAAAAAAGATACAATTTACTAAAAATATTTACGTTTTATAAAGCGATTATAAATATTTCATAAAAGTGTAATCCATTCAACTGTATTCAGTTGAGTCTAGGATTATTATTATTAGATTTTATCACGGACATAATCTGAGCTGATTTTGGTAATATTGTATTCATAGGATCAGCTGTCAATTTTCCGGAATTATGCTGTGCAACGGTCCTGAGAAATTATTCACACTTGCGACGTCGGGATTACTGTGGATGCGCCGGGTAAAATCAACCCGGGTGAAACATTAAGACGCTCCAGGCGTGGAATTTATATAATGCATTAGACGTTCCCTGTCTGAAGGACGTTTTAATTAAAGTTTTGATGCTTCAGCAAAGATTGTGATCGCAGTGTACTTTCCTCTGTTCAAACAATGAAATAGAGAAGAAACCTCAAACATTAAACGTTGATAAAAAATATTTATTTTGGTGAAATAAGAAACCGGAAATGTTAAAATTTATCTTGAAGACTTGGTGATTATGCAACAAACATTGCTCTAATTATAACATAGGAAAGTTTCTTACAACGTTTATTAACGTTAATTACAGCTAGAATGTTACAAAGACTAATGTTTAAGTTACATGCTGTTACGTAAAATGTTAATATCTACCAGCGTTGTAATTAGTACAAATTGCGGAATGTTTGCGGGACGTACCTAGAGTGTCAGTCCGCCCCAAATGAATTTCCAGTACAGCATGTAAATCTACACTATACAACAAACAAAACAACTTAGTACATGTACAGCACTATGCGTAACATATTTTTCAGGAGTGCTGAAAATAATGAAACTAAAATAAATTCATTGAATGACAGATATATATCTATTGTTTTATGTCATATATTTTTTGTTAAATTTACTATTTATTTCATACAATAATAAAGTAATTTTCATAAAAAACATATTTTATATTTACAACGTTACATAATGGTGGATAATCTAATAATAATTACTGGAATAAGGGAACAAAGTTTAATTTTAGTTTTAAGCGAGGAAGTCTGAAGTTTCATGCGATTTATAGTTTTTAGCGGAGGAACATTATTGTAATGATCGTGATCACTCCAGAAGACTTCGCACTATTACGAAATAATCGCCGGGCAGACATTAATACCGCGTTTTACGAGGGCCGTAAAGGAGATTAATATGGTCTAGTTGGATGGATGAATGCAGGTTCAGCGGAAAAGTCTCGGTATAGCGGCTGGCTTTTAAATCTTTATACAGAACTGTGGCGAAAGTTGTTAATACCATGAGAGCAGGGCAAAACAATCCATAGGGAATTTACGATTGTTCGCAGATTTATTACGTAAGCGTAATCGCGTGGACGTAACTTCGGAGATATGTCCGTCTGGGATAGAGGATTTGATCGTAATTGGAATAAACATTAATCATGTTTAAACCTATTTATTGTGGGTTGTAAATTTATTGAGCTGGGATTCAACTGTAATATATTAACGTTATTATGCAAACAAATTCTGCTAAAACAACGAAAAGTAATAAATACAAATAACTTAGTAATCAATGCAATAGTTTAACTATCATTTGAATCTATCATAAATCAATGATATCCAAACGTTAAAATACTTGATTTCGTAAAGTATGATACAACATAAGATATATGTTACGAATAATTTGGATGCAGCATTAAAAAAAGATTAATATGATGTAACAATTTCAGTTTAAGATTTAGGATTATGAAGTTTTCTTTATTATAAAATGTTGAGATGCAGATTTTTGAGGAGGCTGTGTTTTTGGGGATTCGCGAATGACCGTCTTTTGGTTTTATCATTTATGACAAGTATTATTAGTACTGACTAGAGCGTGCAGCAGTTAAGCTTTGCCTGAATCAGTTGAATTGTATTTAGTTGCCAACATTGATTGTTCCAGTTTAGGAAAAGCAAACCAATGTATATTTTTTCTAAGTATGTTTGTTTCTGTATATATACTTAGCACTTGTATTTGTAATGGAGATGGTGATTATTGTGGTGAATGCGGATGCGAATGATAGTCGTTTGTTTTGCAGGCGCCGCCGCCTCCGGCACCGCCCCAGACTACTGTCGCGCCAAGTGCAGGAGCACCTCCGCCTCCACCAAGCTCAGGCGCCGGGATGGCGGCGGCCAATTCCGCAGAGCTATCCTTGAACTTGAAGCCGGGCTCGAAGACTACAAGTGCTCCGAGCAGTCCTGCCAAGTCCAGGGAATCTCTTCTCCAGAGGGTGCAATCCTTGACCGGACAAGCTCGAGATCAGGGAGCCTCGATCCTCGGTGCCGCCGTCTCCAGCGCCAGCAGGGTGACGTCCTCCGTGTCTTCAGGTAGACACCTGACGCTGATGGTGATCGACGACCAAAACACCGATTGGTCCAAGTACTACAGAGGAAAGAAGATCGGCGATTACGACATCAGAGTGGAGCAGGCCGAATTCAAGGAGATCAACGTCACCGCTAACAGTGATGGGGCGAACGTGTCCATGGTCGTCTACAGGGGAGGAACTCGCGTCGGTCGCTCCTTCAGACCCGATTTCCTTCTGGTGAGTGCTTCTATTAATAGGTCAACGAGGAAGCGTTCCATATCGCACTTTACGGCAACCCCCTTTGTTTCGTGCCGTGCGTACATAAAAACCAGCTCTTCGTTTCATCCGAGCTTACGAATGCACAATAAATCGTCCTTGCACACGACTCACCTACAAAGACAAAATCGATACCTCCACCATTGACACATATCGCATTACGCAATAGGAATATAGTTTCACGTACACATCATTAACTGCGAGTTTTTTTTTTATTAAAATTTTATTTTTTCGAAATGTTTTCAGGTGAGACAAAACTTGAAGGATGCGGGAGAAAACTACAAGAAATTGCTCCTCGCTTTCAAGTTCGGAGATGTGCCCAGCATCAACAACATCAACGCAATCTACAACTTCCAGGTAGGACTAAACAGTATATTATATTTAATATTTACAAACGAAATAAAAAATATACATTGAGAAATAACAGAACAGAAGAAGAATGTAATAATAATAATTAATTAAAATACTTCAGTTACTTATTGTCTACAAGTAAAAAGTAATAAATAATAACAAAAAATATATATGTATGTAAAAAAAAGAAATAATCTATTTCCGCTTTCGTTGTTTGTTCTTGTTGCTGCCGCGTTAACCAGGATAAACCATGGGTTTTTGGACATATGGTTCAACTGCAACGAATTCTCGGAAAGGATTCCTTCCCTTTGATCGACCAAACTTTCTACCCAGATCATCGTGAAATGGTAAGTTAGGCCTCTTTACTCTCAGCTTCTTCTTCGGTTCGTAATGCAAGACGGTGGTATTCTTGGAGCATGCCATCAAAGAGGCGCTCTTCGACCAGGTGCATTGGTTCCTCATGGAGCGCATGCAGATTCCCTGAAATATAAAAATAAACGTAAAATATAAAAGAAATAAAACAGATTGATGAATCGATGCGAATTACCTCGTTTCTCTGGCAATCCTGCTTCTTGTCGGGTCGCCAAGTTTCCCAGTTGCATTCGTTGATTTTTCTGGCGCAGTTTCGATTCGGCGGACAGAACTTCACCTGACACGCGCATCCTTGCCTGTACAACATCTTCAGACCTTTCCTTTGCCTCTTGGTCAGATCCACCCACTTCTCAGATAGACCGCACATATTCACGTGCGCCTGCAGATTCGAAATCTTTCCGGATATAACATAAACCTTGCCTACTTCGAACTGCTGTCCGCACATCGATTCAGACTCGGGGGTGAGAAATCGGCCATATTTCAAGGCCACTTCCGCCTTCTCTGACATCTTGTACTCCTTTCGTATCCTAATCTTGTATTCCCTCTGCATATCCACCACTTTTTCGCGCTTTATTCTCGCCAAAATAACTGAAAAACAACAACAAAAACATAGTAAATAATAACATTCATAAACAGTATAAAATTATATTTATTTTAAACGTTTTCTAAATAACAATATACAATTTATTATTCATTTATTAAAAATGTACTAAGTTATGAGAAACTACCCAATTTAAATTTCATAAATATCAAATATGTATTGCTATAGTCTTTTATAAGAGATTAAACCATTTTGTCTAAACTCTTTATTTTTTTTAAATTTGGCTGAATTATGATGATTATGTATACATTTACTCATATTTAAATGGCAAACGTCCAAATTGATTTTAATGTGATTTTATAAAATATCTACTTATTTTCTTTCAAGAGTTATCTGTTTTCTTATTTTATCTAGTCAATATTTTTATATTTGAATTGCATTTATTCACGTTTCCTTTAATGTTTTTACTTATTTAATATCTTTCATCTTTATTTGTTATAAAAGCTGACTGAAACGTAAGTAAAACAAATCATGGAATTTTTATATTGAGTCCAAACAGATTGAGTTATTAGCATTCCAATTAATATATACCAGTACCTCACATAGTACGGCTTCAATCAGTTCAGATTAACTTAACTAAAAATGTCAAAACAAACTAAATTTTCATTCACAAAAATAATTGTTGTTTTCTCCTTATATTTGTTCATTTAAATATAATTTATATTTCTTTCAAATTTAGTAAATTAATCATTTGCGAATAGTTTGCAGGCGATATATAAATTAAGCGTATAAACTTATACTAATTCAATTACTGTCCAATGAATACAATTAAATTTGAAGCAAATTAAAGCTTTTTTGTATAGTTACATTTTGCTACGATTTTATGTATTCATAACACGCAAACCGCTTATTATGTCATATTCTTTCGCCTTAATCCATTCCAGAAAATCGTTTCCTTTTCCGTCTTCGCTAAATTATCCTTTAAAAACAGAAACATCTTTTTATTTAGAAGCAATAAATTAACAAGAAAAAAACTGTTAATTGTTAATATTATTCGAATTTAATAGTCATTAAAAAATATATAATTATCCATCCGTTCAATTCTACGTAACAAATAATTAAAACGCTCCAATTTTCATGTGAGCTTTTCAATTCGTTGCGTTTCAAACTCATTGCGTAATTAACTTCTATTTTCCCACTTTCATAAATGAATTATTTCTATTTCCAATCGAAATATTTGCTGAATGTAAATTAATGAAAATTTAATTCAATGAAATTGTTTACTTTTGATATTCGAGTGGGTTTTTCATATAGGCTGAATCATGGCGTCTGATTCACTTGTGTTGCCTACGTTATGCACTTACGTTCTTCCATCCGCAGTCTATTTTTACCACCTTCCGACCAAACCGAAGCAAATATAGTAAAAACTAATCATTTTTTTCCGCAAATGGACTACGCATTACATCATCTCAGGTTATACGCAATTCTCACCGAAATAGCGGACAAACTAATATAATCGAACATGTTTTCTTCCTATCCTTGGTGGATTTTGGTAGTCGGCGAATAAGTTGTTGTTAAGGAGAATTCGAAATTATTTTGATTCCAGTTTTTTTTTTTCTTGAAGCGAAGAGTTCCTTACCGTTGGAAGCCCGAATTGAGCAATCGAGATTACTTTTAATGGGGTCCCACTGTAATTTATCTCGCATCCAAAAGAAGTCGCTAAATGCAGATTGCTCTTATTTTAAATGATTTTAACAGGGGGATAAACAGGTTTTCGTATGTAAATGGATGTAATTAGTTTGATTGGATTTCGGGACTCACCGAAGTCAGCGTTGCAGAACTGCTGCTGAGGATGCGTCGGTATGCAAGAGCAGGACTCTGATGAATGGATCCAGAGGACCACGAGCAGGGCCAGCGGCAGCAGCAGTGATTTTCCCATGTTTTTTTTCTACCCTCCCTGAAACACATTAACAGCGTGATTAATACATGAGCGTCCGGACAATAGGGCTTAAAATTATGCAGAAATAAGCAAATACGAGCGAAGAGTTATTTATAATGCGGCATGCAATTTAAATGTAATTATTTTCATGTTTTGCATGCAGACGAGTCGCAATAATTCATCTGCAATGAGCTTCAAATGGGCCGTTTCATTTGCTTCTTCTTTATCCATCAACCATCCGTAATTATCCTATGCACAGATTACATAAATGATCTTGCGCGCAATTTGTTTATTGCTTTCTTGTAAACCACATCGAAAGTCTTATTGCCAGAAAGGAAAAAGACCAGAAGTGTCTTTTTACATAATATCGAATTGCAATAACATCTTGTTTGAGGCAATGATGATGATGATGTTACAAGGCTGCGAATGCAGCAGCGGATGATGCAAATGTGTTTGCATTACTAAATGTATTCAACCCAGAAACATAATTGTTTCCACGCGTCATGCAAGATGTAGGAAAGAAAGAAAGAAAGAGAGAAAAGATTGGTAAAATAAATGAATTGCGGCAGTGAATGAATCAATTCAGAACAGTTGTGCGACTCCCGCATTTGGCCGGACAATTATTTATCCGCGATGCGTAACACATACATTATTACGAGCTTTACCTTAATTGGTTTCGCCTCAACTCGGAATGCTATCTCAATTAAACGCGTATCTCCAAGGGAATATACAAATATGTAATTGCATCGCAAATGCAGAACACTGCTCAAATATTCAATTACGTAACATGCGTTCATCCGTGTGCGAAAATTTTGTTTACGAATCTCACTCAACATCACTAGATTGAATGCCAAAGTAAGTTCAATTTACAAAACGGCGATATTTTCAATGTTCTCTCGTGCATATTAAAACAGAAATACTTTGCGTATTGTCGCTTCAATTAGTGCGGATTCACTATAGTACGGTTTGATAATTTCAAAACAAACTAAATTTTAATAAATTACACACCATTATTTGTTTTCACATACATTATCTTTTCTTTATCTATTCAGTCAAGTCTCATTTTGTGTTGAATATTTTTATGCGGTTTAAAAGTCTTCTATTAATCCGGTTTCAAACAGTGCGGAATATTGGCAGAATAGCGTTGTGCCAAAGCAAGTTCATTTTACAAAACGAAGGATTTTCAATGTTCTCTCATGCACATTATTAGAGCAGTACTTCGTTTAGTGCGGCTTCGATTAGTGCGAATTCACTATAGTACGGTTTGATAATTTCAAAACAAACTAAATTTTAAAAAATTCTAGAAAAATAGTACACAATTCTTTGTTTACACAGAAATAATCGTTTTTGTCTATCTCTATTTAGTCAAGTCTCTTTTGTGCTGTATATTTTAAAAGTCTTCTATTAATCCAGTTTCAAACAGTGCGGAATATTGACAGAATCGATCAATTTACAAAACGAAGGATTTTGCAATGTTGTCTCATGCACATTAATACAGCAATACCTCGTTTAGTGCGGCTCCGATTAGTCCGGATATACTATAGTACGGTTTGATATTTTCAAAACAAACATTATCTTTTCTTTCTCTATTCAGTCAAGTCTCTTTTTGTGCTGTATATTTGTATGTGGTTTAAAAGTCTTCTATTAATCCGGTTTCAAACACTAAAGTTTGATAACTTCAAAACAAACTAAATTTTAATAAATCCTAAAAAGATAGTATACAATTATTTGTTTACACATAAATAATCGTTTTTTTTTCTTTCTCTATTCAGTCAAATCTCTTCTATTAATCCGGTTTCAAAAACTGCGGAATATTGACAGAATCGATCAATTTACAAAACGAAGGATTTTGCAATGTTGTCTCATACACATTAATGCAGCAATACCTCGTTTTGTGCGGCTCCGATTAGTCCGAATATACTATAGTACGGTTTGATATTTTCAAAACAAACTAAATTTTAATAAATTCTAAAAAGATAGTACACAATTATTTCTTTACACATAAATAATCCTTTTTTTCTATCTCCTTTTAGTCAAGTAACTTTTGTGATGTATATTATTATACGGTTTAAAAGTCTTCTATTAATCCGGTTTCAAACAGCGCGGAATTTTTCTATGTTCTCCCATACACATTAAGCAATACCTTGCTTAGTGCGGCTTCAATATAGTACGGTATGATAATATGATAGTACACTATGCGATAATTGTTTACCATTGTTTTTCAATGAATAATTCTATTTGAACGATATTCAAGTAAGATCTATTAATTCTAAGTATTATTCGACTAATCACTAAAGTATAAAATTATCATGACTAATATTTTACTAAACATCACTAAATCTTTGCCATAGTTAATTCAATTTACACATCGGTGGAATTCACAATGTTATCTCATACACTTTAATAGATTTCCTACTTTGTTACATAATAACAACATGTTTTTCTTTGAACAATCCATTTGAGCAATATTTAGCTTAGACCTATCAATTCTAAGT